TGTATAAACAGGTATATCAAACATGTCAAATGCTCAATCTATTGATTTATTGAGAGAATTAAATGCTAAACTCTTAATTGAGATTGTGGAACTTAAGAAGGAGAATGCTGAAATCCCTGATCTTAGAAGGAAGTTTGCTGAGATCGAGGCTGAAAAAGCTGAGCTTAATAGTAGGATTGCTGAGCTTCTAAGGCAGGCTGTGAAAGAGAGTAAATGACATGATGATGAGAATGTCAAACTCAAGGTCAGAATCAAGAAGTTGGAGAAAAACAAGGAAGATTCTTTAGTCGAGAATATTAGACATGATGTTGAGATTGCTGAGATTAAGGTTGAAATAGTGAAGCTAAAGGATAATAATGAAGAAAACAAAGAGCTAAGTCAGGATATTTCTTCCAAGAGGGTTGACAATATACATAATTCCATTTCAGACCAATGTGATAATGTTACTTCTTGTGTGAGTGATCAGAAGTTATCAGAAGACAGGGAAATAGATGCTTTCCTAAACGAGGCACATAAGCAAAGTGTTAGTGATGGAATAAGACAATGCAATAAGGAGAAGAAACTTAGCAAAGCATCCTTTAACCAAGATCAAGAATCTGATACCGGGTTGACTATAAATAACTACATATCCTTCGGTACTTCTACTTTTGAAATTTCAGTTAGGAGCTCTCGTCAAAATAGTCATAGAAAGAAAGGTGCAAAAAACATCGTACAATTGATAGCTGATGGCATTAAAGATAATGCCTAATTGAATGACAAAGCCACTCCTTGCAATGTAATTTCAATTGAGAGTTTCTGCCAAAATTTATCTATAGATTCATTGCTTTCTCTAGCACAATTATTTGATAAAGTAGATAATGTTGAATATGGTGCAATTTATGCTAATTAGAAAAAGATTTTGCACTAGTATTATTATGGAAAAGAATTTTTAACCCAGGTTAGTGTGATTGTACAAGATAGAAAAGAAAAATAGATGAAAAAAAGACAAAGGGAATAATATATAATAAAATATTGGAACATCTATCCATATTGTGAAAGCAATGATCTAAAGAGACAGGATTGCATCTCCCAGAAATCTTCCGTAAAAACTTACAAAGGAAAACTCAGAAAGCTGTAAAGATATATAAATTATTTGAAAAGGTAGGTGTAGATAATATTAAGTATATTACGACATATAGTGTGAACTCTATTTCTGAGTTGACTAATAATAAAGTTTAAGATATCATAGATAATTTCTTCAAACATAATGATAGTGATAACACTGATGTGGAAGAAGTATCAAGTCTTATGACTGAGATTTCAGCCAGGGGTTCTGGTCAAAATTCAGCTGAAGTAAGTGAATTAATTGCACCTATTCCTCTTATATATGACTCTAATTCTTTAGGTAATTTATCATTCATGCCTCAAATTGCTCTAGCTGAGACGTATTTTAATGATCCTATACCTTCGTTAATGAAGAAAGGAACTAATAAAGTTCAGACAGACTATGATAATAATTGTAGTCATGGCAATGATCCTAAAGAAGACATATTATTTTCTGATAATGATAAGATAAATGATATAGATATGATGGTTTCTGATAATGATAAAGATGCAGGTTATTACTATAATTTAAGAACTGGTAATGCAACTTATAAAAAATCGATTAGCATATATTAGATTTTAGCAGTGCTAATAAAAATTAAAACAATAGTATAACTAATGACCAATACTTGTTCACACAATTATGTAAAAATAAAAAATTGTGAGCTCAGCAGACCCCTTCTCTTTATTATTATAAAAAAATATATTACTAGAATGACAATATAATATACAAATAAAAAATATGTTGCTATTATATAATGTAAATACAAATAAAAAAAAAGTTTAATGGTCTTCTGCAAGACAATCTGCAAGATTTTTTTCATTTGCACATGCCCTCTCTGTGCTTTAAATTTAAAAATTTTTTCATTATCTACACACAACTTATAGCTATTTATTCAAGTTATAAGATAGCTTTTTTGACCCTTAACTTCTATAGATGTTATTTCATTTTCAGTCGCCTAATTTATAAATTTCACTTTCTCTATAGTGTCAATTGGACTTTCATTTTCATCTACAAGAATAATCCTCATAACATCTTTGTTTAACCCTTCGACCTTTACTCAGATGTTATTATGACTAGTATCAAAGACTCTTGTCTCTTTCGCCTTATATGAGAAAATATTTGCAGTCATCATGACTGTTAATAAAAACAAGGCTATTAATACACGAACTTGTAATAGTGTTTTCTGATCAGATCTGCTAAAAAAAAACATTACCTTAGAACTAAATTGCTGGTAACTTATGTTAAACTTTTTTTTTAAAAAATATATATGAGCAAAAAATAATGTTATTGCTAACTTATCTTATAGGTGGGGATTTGCTTATTTTTATACTGTCCATTTACTAAAAAACTTGCTAGAAAAAAAGTTACATAATTAGTAATTGCATTACCCAAATCCAACGCCAGTTTTTTCTCTATAAAGCAAGTTTATTCGGCTATAAGCACTATATACTAAATAAAATTGCCATTTTTCGATGAAATTAACCCCTTATAATTAACGATTGTTTAAAGTGGGTTTAGATCTGACGATCTTGGAGATGGTGGAGATTCGAAGTCCCTGTAACATATGAATTTTGATAAAACTACTAATAAAAAACATTATACTCATTGCCCTTATCCCTTAGATTGTAACACAAGCAAATTTGCCTGCATAATTTTTTTAAAATTAATTTTTATAATAAAATTTTAACAATTAATTTTA